CAGCAGGACCTTTTACAAGCTGTGGAAAGGGCAGAGCATCACTTCCCTGTAGCTTTGAGAGGTGTCACGGTGCTGCTCTGCTTTTGAGCCATTTCTCCACTCCCCTGTGAGAGCCTGAGGGCTGCCCTCCCCCAGACCTGACTGCTGCATGTGCTAACTCCACCGAATACACCCTACCTCAGCTTGCAATCTTTTTACCCAAGGTTTACTCAACACATTTAATAATTTGTGAGTTTAATGCTTCAAATCAACTTTTCAAACCAGCTACAGGGCAAGCACAGCAGGTTTGTCAAATCCTGTCCCTTCAATAGCTTTAAGTCCAAAATTGAAATTATGCCCCAGGTAACGTTTGTGTTGTTTAAGAGACTGTAGGTTTCTGAATGCAGATTAAGCCCTTAATAGCAGCATCAGACTAGAATTACTGTGGATTTTTTAATCTTTTAACAATATTAACACTCAACTGAAAAAAAGCAAATCCTAAAAAGTGTGCTTATAGTACATCCCAATACAGCAGCCAGGCAGCTGATAATATTCAGACCAGACAAGTATCTTTTTTTTTCCAAGACAGCTGTTATATGTTCTGCCTAGTGGGGTTTAGGAGTCACTACTGAGTCCAGCTTGACTATGAAGTTATTTAGACTTAACTTTTAGTCTAGATAATATGTCTTTATGCAACATCTGACAAGCTGTAAAATCCTGGAATACATACACACACATATAATAAAAAAAGTTTGACATATCGTACCTATGGGCTGCTGCCACATGCAGTTGGCAGTCCATTCGTCAGGAGGTTTACAACACATGACTTCATTTGTAAAACGTGCGTGTGCCTCAGACCCCAGGGAGTGTAGGAGGAGGGTTACAGAGGGGACACGGCACTCTGGGAACCACATGTGACTTGTCCAAGCTGATAGTGAGGTGAAGGATGCTGTTCTCACCACTCCTCAAATCTCAGCCAAGCTGCTCCTCAGAGGGGGACAGCACCCCCAGGGCTGCTTGTGCTCTGCAGGAGGTACACTGCCTTTTTCTTTGTTTCCATCCCAAACCCACGGTTATGTCTCTTGGTTTGGAAATGCTAAGACTGCGTTTTTTTCCCCAGGATGACATTTACTATTCTTTACTGTGCCTGCAAAACCAACCAACCAAAAAAAGATAGCCCAAGAACCACCCAGTCAGGGGTTTTTGGAAAAGCTTTAACTGAAAAATGTGAGAGTGGGATACAGAACTATCCTCCTGCCCCAGCAATGCAAATGCCTGTTCTCAAACCTAGCTACAAACTGTACCCTGACTCCCACGTCTAGGGATGCTTAGGTGCCATTTACATTTTCCTGGTAAAATCTTAATCTGAACTGTTCCTGAAGTGTTCATCTTTCTGTCAGTGACTGAGAAAGAAAACCACTGCTTTCTCAGACAGTACCAGCAATCAGAAATTAAATATGCTTCTGTGAGAACCAGAACTCAAGAGTCTCATACGTTTTTCTCCCTGCTCTGTTGGACTTGATATTTAAAGATGTGTGCTCTAAGCAAAGCTTCTGCTAAGCAGGATCATAGAATCATAGAATCCTTTAGGTTGGAAGAGACCTTTAAGATCATCAAGTCCAACCATTGAGCCATTAGGGCTCTAAAGTCCTCTGCTAAAACAGATCAGAATCTGTCAGGGTTGGAAGGGACCACAAGGATCACCCAGTTCCAACCCCTCTGCCATGAGCAGGGACACCTCCCACTAGATCAGGCTGCCCAGAGCCTCATCCAGCCTGGCCTTAAAGACCCCCAGGGATGGGGCCTCAACCACCTCCCTGGGCAACCCATTCCAGGGTCTCACCACTCTCATGGGGAAGAACTTCTTCCTCACATCCAGCCTGAATCTGCCCACTTCCAGCTTTGCCCCATTCCCCCTCGTCCTGTCGTTACCTAATAGCCTAAAAAGTCCCTCCCCAGCTTTCAAGACTCCTCTGGTGGATGCCAATAAAGAGACATTCAGACTGAAGGCTCTGTCTCAGGACACTTGAATCAATCTTTAGCCCCTTTCAGCAGTGTATTTTCATAAACAATTTATTTTCTCTCTGTCCAATGAGAGGAATTGGCTAAAGGGTTCTAAAACTGGAAGTGGCAACAGACAGAAAGAAACAGACTCCATGATATCTTTTTTAGACTGAAAATGCCCTCCTAGGTTTTCTTGCATAGGTATCATGTAGCTTAGAATAATCTACAGATAAACTGTTTTCTGACATTTAATAACAATTCTCTTTCAAGCCACTCTATTATTTCTACTGCTACTCTTTAACACCCCGTAATTCCCCAGCACCTCTTCCTACAGAGAGCCCAGGTAATTAATCCTTTTTGCTAGAAGCTCACATTCGGTTTATTGTTGAGGCCATTCTCTATTTCAGTATATACACAAGGCCCGTGTTTCAGCTTTTTTTACAAGTGCAGTCATTTATATTTTTCTCTTCTAAATCTTTTTATAAATACTTCTTATTCTGTCAGAGAGCAACATCAAGATGAACTGGACGAACATTTACAAAATAGCTCTAGCTGTGTTGCAAACAACACAGCTTTAGAAAACTACCCATAAAATGGTAGAAGGAATAACAGCCCTGAAATCCCTCCCTTAAAGCACCACATAGGTGTTTTAAATGGGCACAGACAAATGCTTAAACATTTGTTATTAAGCATTGCAGGTGGAGATTAAAAAGGAAAACACAAAAGCTACCCAAAACAGAGAGATCTTGGTTTCTTAAGTAAGGATGCCTGCAGGCAGCTGACGTGTGCATTGCACAAATCCAGCCTGAGCAGAGGCTCCCCCTCCACAGTCGTGCATCTTTCTTGTACAGCTGATGCCACTTGCTTGTTGGTAATTGAGACATTCTAGAAACCTCGTCTTGGAATTGTAACATTTTTCTTAAATTACCAACTTAGAGAGTAGCTTTATAAAATATACAGCTTATACTTATGAACACTACTTAAAAGTACTTTTTAAACTGCCAGTAGCTCTTTTTCTCTTTTCCAAAAGATTAAAAAAAATTCTACTGCCTGTCCATGAAGTAAACTAGAAATGTGATACACTGACAGTAAATTCTTTGAATAAGTTCTCTTATATACATTAAACTATTACTGCGAAAAAGAGCAACCTTCCTGTCTGAAAGATAATACTGACTTCTCTAGTGCTATACCCACCATTTTCCTAAAAGAGATCACTGAAAATGGCTTTATTAGAGAAAGTGCCATTGCCATGCTCAAAGTCTGTTTCAGTAAAAAGCCTTCTGGTAACACTGAGTT